AATTACCATGTTGAAAAGGCAGCAGTGAGTTGAGAAGAGATATTTGCAGTGTGACAAAAGTCTATCACTTGCCTAAGATGTAAAAATTGATAACCCAATAGAAAAATGGGCCAGTGACACAGTTAATAGTTCACAGAAAAGGAACGGCTTCTCAACATAGGAAAAGGTGCTCAGACATACTCATGAGAGAAATTCCAATTAAATATAAATACCCGTCAGAATGGTAAAGGTGTAAAAGTTTATTTCCTTTTACCCTTAACAACAGAAGCATTCTTATTCTTATTGGAAATGTACACTGATGTTGTCTAGTTGCTCTCCAAATAGGTTATATTTACCAAATTTCAAAATATACCTTCTCTTTAAGCAATTCTGCTACACCCAAGGATTTATCTGACCAGTGCACTCCCTGATGTGCACAGAAATCAGCATTCTATAAGGATATCCATTATGGTATTATTTCTATTAGCAAAAAATTGGACAGTCTAGGAGAGTGGTTAAATCAGTACCTTCCAAGACTGGAGTACTATGTAGCTGTTAAGGATAGAGTTTTATGTATTTCCATGACATATAATTAAAATAAGTAGCAGTCATGTCTTAAAGAGGAGGTTTGTATGAATATGTGCTTTTATGCATAAGCTCAGGATGGACATATTAGACTAGTGCTATTGATTGGTTCTGTGGGGGGAGGGAGACTCCCTTTCTTTGGTATGGCCTTTTATACTGGTTTTTTTTTTTTTTCCAGTCAGATATTTTACTTATTAAAGACAAAAATTTAAAAAAATACAAAGAGAGTTATGAAAGTCCTGCTTAAATTTTTCTTAAATTATTTGTTCTTTGCCCCTATACTGTGTAATTAGGGAACATTTGACCAAGTATATGGTAGAGATTTTTGTCTATTAATGAGGATGGAAACATTTGATGAGTACTTGGTTTGTGCTCATGAAGAAACCAGTGATGAGCATTTTACAGGTTTACATATCCACTTATTACAGTCCTTTGAGGTGTTTAATAGTATATTTACTGATAAAGGCTCAGGTTAAGAAACATGCCCAAGGTGACAGGGCTACAAGCAGCACAGCTGGCATCTGAACCCATGTAAGTGATGGGGATTTGATCTATTATTTATGTGGCCTTGCGTTAGATGGCGATGTCTGTCTTACTAATGTTGATGGATATCATTCTTCTATGCACAGGTACCGATGGGCCTTTATTCCAGAAGCTTCAGATGATTCTGGTTTGGAAGTCAGAAGACAGGGCATACATCAACGAGAATTTAAACCTTATGTAGTACGACTAGCAAAACTACTTCGAAAAAGGGCAAAGGTATTGCAGTCTTCTTCTTTTTAAGATACAATCTGTAATATTTATGTTGTCTGATGTACTTTATATCTTTCAGTATGCATAATTAGAGAAATTTGCCCAAAAAAACAGTATAGTTGACCCTTGAACGCAAGAGTTAGGGGTGCTGACCCTCCCCCTCCCCCCCCACACACACACAGTTGAAAATTTGTGTATAACTTTCGACTCCCAAAAACTATTAATAGCCTTCTGTTGACTGGAAACCTTACTGATAATGTAAACAGCTGATCAACACATATTTTGTATTTGACGTGTATTATATACTGTATTCTTACAATAAAGTAGGCTATCCAAAAGAAAATATGAAGAAAACCATAAGGAAAATACATTTACAGCATTTATTGAAAAAAAAAAATGTTAAATAGACCCACTCAGTTCAAACCTGCTGTTCAAGGGTCACCTTTTATGAATTCGGCATGCTCATCAGTAGGCCTTTGTTACAAACTTTTTCTTTTGTATTTAAAAAATTTTAAAAAGAAATTGTACAGTTTGGGGATAATCTGGATTGTCTTTTGAGTCCTAGCTTTCGGTATGTGCTTTGAGTGCTCAGAAATTTTCCAGTCTTCTGGGGTCCCTTATTTAGGCAGTGGCTCCTAAACCACATTCCACAAACTAGAAAATGGAATGGAGGCAAGTGATTAAAAAGAGAATTGTACTTGAAGGGTATGAGGAACTTGATTTAAAATCAAGTTATTTCTTTAGGGACTAAGTAAAAGGACAAAGACAAAGATGAAAGTTGGGTCCAGAGTTTAGGATAGGACTGGAGTACTTTCACTTTGATACCACAAGGTTTTAAAAATTAATCATGACAACAGAACCAGAAGCAAGGTGATTACATATGATCCCAGGCACATGTACTTTGTCATCCCCCAACCTCATTTGTAATGAGTGTTTTTTATAAGACTCCTCCCTTATCTAAGGGATAAACATCTTTAGCCCAAAACTTGCCCCACCGAGTAAGAAAAGTTTTGATTGGAAAGCATTTGCCCATCCAAAACACTTTAAACAAGGTCTTCATGGCCAAGCATACTTTTTATGGAACAAAGGCTATGAGTTCTCCTCTTTCCTTCCACAGGACAAGGAGGAGGACTTTAAGACAGTGATTATGGAGGGATTGGAGATGGCCAAGCATCAGGTGAGGGTGGCTTTGTGATGCTTGTGATATGGCAGCAAAAGCTGCCATATTTGGACCAAATATTGAGACACAAACCAAGGTCTGAATTTCAACAAGTGCAAGAGAGGTAAAGAACAAAGAAGTTTTTTTTTCAAGTGTAGACTGGTGAAATGAAAGGAGAAATTGTTTCTATGGAAACATGTTTAACTTTTTAACTTTATCTATTGAAGATGGTGGTGTAGTTCTGATTAAGAAGAGCAGAACACCAAGTCACTCTTCTTGGTCAACAGCTTAGTAAAAGTTCCTCTCTTAAAGGTATATCTGGATAGTAATAGAAACAGGTTAACCTTAGTATTCTTACATTGGAAAATTACTATGTAGAGGACTTAAATATATTACTCATTGTACTTCAAGATGTTGTATATCGTTTAAATACTAGGCAATTGCAATTTGGTTTAGGGAACTAAAGGTAGTATGGTCAATTAATGGTAGTCAGTAATGTGAAAGTCAATCCCAGGATTGTCATTAAAGCCAGTGTTATAGTTAAGAAAAAGGAAGATGGTTTTTTATATTTTATAATTTAGATTGGAGGTTAAATAATTGCTAAGAAATTAACTAGGTAATGGCTGGATTTTTTTGGCCGTAAAGAACTAGATGATCTTTTCTTGTTTATTCCTGGAGTCTTCTGTTTTAACTTAAATCTATTTTTCTTTCTCAGGATTTTATTTTTAAATAAGCAAACAAATCTATGAATACACACAAGAAAATAAGCTGGATTTTGCATCTCTTTTGTCCACTAGGAAACTAGTTTATACTAAAATATTAGGTAAACGATGAAAGTTTCTTGATACCATCTGATCTTAAAAGGCAAACTCCATTTGTTAACCAATTTGGCAATTGTAATTCTGCCTAAGTTCCACTTGATTTTCCATCTAGTTTGTTTTCATGTATCACTACCCAGTGTTTGCATATCTATGATTATGCCCAAGTTCAAATATCTGCAATTCTTATAACTTTCTCTAGACAGACTAATGTCTACAACTGTTTGTATAATTTAGTTGGCCTCTCAAACTAGCCTCGTAGTACACAAATTATCTTGTGTTTATATTTAGTTGACAGAATTTTCACATACATTCTCATTTTACTTCTCTGCTGCAGGATAAATCGTAATTCTCCACTTTAGAAGTGAGGCACCTTTCTGTGTCTTGCCCACAGATGCTACACAATAAATGGCAAAGCCAGGACACTAACCCAGTTTCCTCTCCACATTGTTTAGCACACCTAGAAACAGATAGAAATCTCCTGAGGGTTCCTTTCTTTTCTCTGTGCTGATAGTAATTCACTTTGGGCCCTGCTACCATTTTGTGACAAGTTTAAGCCATTGGGCTAAAGGAGAACGAATTGATTTACTAACGGTGAAAATGTATGACTCTTTGTCCCTTCCTAGCCTTATTCTGTAGTCATTTTGTGACCAAGTCTTTGGTTACATAGTGGGAGTCCAGAAATCTGGGAGCTTTTTGAGTATATGCAAAGCACAACATGAACTTTCAGTGTTTGACTCTCCCTATCCAAAACCAATTCTGCCAAGCTTCCCTGTGCATTCCAGTTGGAAAATGTTACAGTGTTAGACTCCTCTGTATACACTTAATAACTGGCACCAAAAGGCCTCAGAAGCAAGAGTTTTAGTCAAGTCTGGAATGAAGTTATTTGTTTCTTAAATCTGCCAATGTTTATACCCTTTTAGTATTCTCATGCACTATATCATCTGTTAATAACAATTTCCTTTTTGTTTTCTACAGAAAAATCCAGAGGAAGACAACTCAGGGAGGACATTGGGTTGGGAGCCGGGCCACTTGCTGCTCACCATCTGTACCGTGCGCAGTATTGAGCAGCTTCTGCCATTCTTCAATGTACTCAGCCAAGTCTTCAACAGTAAAGTCACCAGCCGATGTATAGGACACTCAGGGAGCCCCATCCTCTACTCAAACACCTTCCCTAATAAGGACATGAAACTGGAAAACCACAAGTCATTTTCCAGCAAAGCCAGGCAAAAAATAGAAGAGATGGTAGAAAAGGATTTTCTGGAAGGTGTGATGAAAACTTGAGCACCACAAGTGGTCCCACTTAGTTAAAATGTTAATGTAATTATTTAAAACAAACATTCTGAGTTGTATAGTTGGTTTTTTTATGTAACAAAACACATTTCAGGTTGTATTTAATTTAAATATTTGTAAATAAGAGCAAATGTCTGAATGTGGCCTGAATCACGTTTAAACATTGTTGGCTCATATTGATTATGGTGCCTGAGACAGACCTATTATATATACATATTCCATTGTTTTATTGTCCTGAGTTGTCTTAAACCTGAAAAATACACACCACATTTTTTCTATTGGTTTTGGGCTTCATTTAATTTAGATTGGAGAGTTTTTTCTTTCTATTAACCACGTTCTAGTGTCAGATGGTGTCACTGCTCTGTCAGAGGCTTGGCAATGTATTACAATTTTCTCACACACACCTTCACTGAGGAGTAAAGAATAACTGAAGCCTGGGCCATGCATCCTTTTAGGGTGGCACAAGCATCTCAACCTCAGTACAGAGATGTACAGCCTCCTTATTCACACCTCTGAGTTCCTGGTGATGGTAATCAAAGAGGTAAGTCACTTAAGAATAGTTCTGAAGACTTTGCTATGGAAAAATTGGTTGTATAAAGTCTTCTCTACCCTTCCCATTTGTGTCCACAGTGATGAATACTGCAAAAACAGTTTCCTGGTTAGGTAACAGCAATGAAAAAGACATCCCAACACGTTGGTAATAAGATTTTTTCCCAGCATATATTAAAAAATTAATGACTGAATCATGTACATAAGCTCCAATAGTTTACATTGGTGAAACTAGAAGTAGGTTTCATTTTTAAACTGAATTTAACAAGTATAAGGCTTAGCTATCTCTAAAGTATTATTCTGGTAGTGTTTAAGAAAAGCAATCATCTAGAAACAATCCAGTAAGGTGCACTGTAAACGTTATGATTATAAATGTGTTTGGAACTGTCACAATAATGGCAGTATTTTGTAAAAACTTTTTAAAAATCCAGTTTCTCATAAATATAAAAACTGTCTTCAGAAACCTGGTTGGGGACTTTCTCCAACTCCTCCAGCCAGCTGAAATACTGCCACGCTCACTTCATATGCAAGGCTATCCGCACTTTCCTGTAAATGAAATTAAAGGAATTAGAAAGACACGTCTACCAGGTTACTTGCAACTCTGAGGGAAGAGAAGAGCTTCCTGATTTTGTTTCACTAACACCTTTAAATGCAAACTTGTTTTCCATTTATTTCAAGGTCTTGGAATTTACTATTGAAAGATGAAAAAAAAGTCAAATTTGTACAAATCAGGTAAGTTCTTAGTTTTCATTCCAAACTGAATAAATTCAATAAACTAGTTCTTATAGGCAGTGAGGCCACAATTAGCCTAAAAGTAAATAACTCTTGAGGCTCCAGATGTCCTCTCCTCACCCACCATAAGTATTTATTCACTATATTCCGGGATGGCCTAAGCTACTATGTAAATTAAATGAATATGTCTCTAAATCGCTATTCAATCCACTCTACTTTGTCTCCACTATGCAAACAATTTTATCAAGGGTTTAAGGTGACAGAAAAAGTATGTGAAGAGGGCAAATTAAAAAACCAGCCTGCAAAGTCTTGACCCTATCAGGAAAACAGGAGAGGCACAGAGTAAGGCTGTCATTTAAAGAAAATAATTTGAAAAACAAATTGAAGGTGGAGACAAAGATGAATTTCAAGTAGCAGAGATGATGGTACCAGTTAATTTAGAAATGAACTTCGATACTGGGTATTTTCACAAAGCAACACGGTTATGTTAAAAATACAGAAGGAAAGGAAAATCTTCGGGCTGTATAAGCTTAATGTGTCAAACTAAGTATGAAGTTATTTATGCCACAGGTAGAAATATGACATGTTCAGGAACTCTAGAATAAATTTAAAATATCTGGAGAAATAAACTAAGTGGGTCTAATTTTGTAGTCTTAATATGAACCTAAAAGGCTCCATAAACAAATCTCAAAGACATTAAATCCTTAATTATCACTGAGATTCCAACACCATTATAGTTTTTTATTTGTTCTCCTACCACCCCCCACTACTTATGTTATTTGACACTCACTGCACATTTTTCAACAGAACTCTCCCAGCTTACTTGTGAGTCTGCTTCTGCATATACTCGGACTATGTCTTCTGTACCAGATGGCCGGACAAAAGCTCGGGAAAGCTCGTACTTCTTCACCAGGTCATTGATTGCCTCCTGTAGTCCTGGGGGTGTAACTGCTTGCCTTTCAGCATCAGTGGTGCTAATAAGTTGCCTGTCTGCAACCTACACACAAGCATTTCATAGTTATTACATTATACTCCTTTTTATGGCCATTTCAACAATAACAGAGCTACATTTCAGCTTATTGTACCACAAAGTACAACACTGAATTAGTGAAGTACCAGATTAAGCATTCAATGAAATTGCATTTAAATTTTTATTTGTCAAAATCAGGGTTAATTTCAACGTACTTATAGTTTGTTTCTTCAGTCTATACAGTACCTTTAGCAAAGAGAGAGAACAATTGCACAGACTGTCTTACAGTTACCACTAAAATAATGGCCAGTAAATACTGTATGACTTGTCATTGATCAAATATTTAAAAAAAAAAAAAAAAAGGATAAGTGGCAACCTATTATATAGGAGGGTCATGATGGGACTCTCATCATGCCAAAAAGTAATCTGAATAATCAGCAGCCATTTCTGTGAACTTCAGCATTTATAGCTCTTTCACAAATCTGTTTGTGTATTTGTAAACTGGTATAAATCTATATAGAAATCAGCCATTTATCTGAAAATTCTTTAAAAATTCTCTCCGTTTGAGCCCATGGATTCTACTCAGCATCTAGCCTCAGAAAATACTCTGTGAACCAACAAGAATAAAATAAATATTTTCACTCTAAATGACAGGCTATCCAGGATTTGCTTCAAAATATGTGGAGAATGTACAGGGCAATAATTGAAATCTGTTGAAGCTGGGTACATAGGGGTTCGTTATTTTGTTCTCTCTACATGTACATGTTTTAAATTTTCCATAATAAAATTTTTTAAAAAGTGATAGATCATATTATTTATAAGTTGGAAACCAAATACTTTTTAAACAGAATGGTTCAAAGCTATTCTGTGTATTTTCTCACATCTTTAAAAATTAGATGATGAAGGCATATTCTATGTAATATATATGTATAGAATGAAATGACACCCTTGGGAAATATTTTTATATGGTGATATTTGACATAGCTTTTAGTTAATCTCTAAAAAAGATGTATTTTTAAAATCTTGCTCACACCTTAACTTTGAGCTGTCTGTTTGGAAGATCCGTATAGAGAGCATCCCACTGTTGTACAGTCAAGCCTTTCAGAGCCAAGATTGCCTCAATCACCAGCATGTCAGAAATAGCATCACCAGCTGCCTGCAAGATGGGGGGACACAATGGAAGAACCACTGTAATACAAGCAAAGCCTGGATGTGAATGCTGTCTTAGAAAACCAATCTCAGTATCCTGTGCTTCCTCCTCCCCCCATGCAGCATTATTAACTGGTGTAGATAAATGAACATTAAGGAAGGAACTGAAACTAGCTCTTGAGAAACCTGCCTTACATCTTCCTCTTTAGCTGTAAAATGAAATTAGACTGCATAACTCTTAAAATTCCAGCATTAACATCTTATGACTCAAATTTTTCTTTATAACTAGATCCCTTTTGAGATAATATACCATGATGATGGAGGCAGGCATCATACAAGGTAGTAGAGAAATACGAAGCTTTGGTGTGAGCCACACCTGCACAGTTGGAGCCATATTCTGTCACTTGCTAGCTCTAAGCCTTTGTTTCCTCATTTATAAAATGGGAATTATAACTCCTCTCCCTGTGCTACTGTGAGGATTACACAGTGAGGTATGTAAAGTGTCCAAATTGTGCAAGATGCTCAAATGTTACTTCCATTGCTTTTCCCTGTATTACGCCTTGCTTGCTCTTCCATTGCCATATGCTATATTACAATCCCAATGATCTGACCCACATGAGACAACCAATTATTTTTCCTGAATTTCTTCAAGGTAGGTTTTAAAAAAGTATGTTTAGCCCCATGTACAGTCAATAGCTAAATCTGGTGATTCTAGGTGGAAGCTACTTATTCGACTTGAAAATTTTAATCATAAAATGGAGGAGGGAAGCACATAAATGTTCTGTCACTGACATTTCTGGATAAACCTCAATTGTATATACTAGAACAAATAAGCCTCCAGGATTTCTCCACTTTCTTTTTATATAGCCCACTGTTCTGCCCACCTTCTGAATAATGAAAAGTAACCAAGAGCCCACCACCCCATCGGTTCTGACCTGGTTAAACAAGTCAATAACGTTTTCAAGCATCTTAGCAGCTTTCCTTTTCTTATCTTCTAATTCTTTTGCTAGTTCTCTTATCTTCATTTCAGCAGCTTTACTAAACAGTACCTGCAATGAAGCATACAAAATCACAAAGCACTATCCAAGTCCCAGTCGTAAGTAACTGTCATCCTAGCTAAACTACTTTTGAAACTCTCAATCTGGAGAAATGGAGGAGAAACAATGGCAGCTTTAGGATGTATGAAATTAATATAAGATCAAAGCAGAACCTAAAAGATACTACTAGGGGAAAAAAAGTTCCTTCATGGATAAAACTGGTTATCAAAATTTAAAGAGCTGATTACAAAGAAAATACCATGTTCATAAAAGTGATCGTGCACATGATTTCATTATACTTGCCCCTAGGCCAGGTAAATCAGATCCGTGCAGTCAGGTTCCTTAAGCCTATCTGTATTCATGCTTCTCTGAAGAACATAATTCATTGCTACTAGTATAGTTTTTTTGTCCTAAAATTAAGGATATAAGCTGGACGAAGTAGAAAAGAGGGTTTATCGTATTTATCACATTATGGCAAATCAGTGGCTATTTAATATACATCATGTTCCTCAAGATTCCTATCATTTTGAAATTCCTTGCCCATGATTTTAGTGCCTTCGAGAGGCCCAATTCTGAGAAAGAGCAACATATAATGCTCAGCCACTTGCTGAAATCCATGTTTGTTGGTAAACTAAGGTGCAGGCTGGTCACTTGTTTGAGTGGAACAGTTATACCCATTCATTTACTCTACACCAGAGTTGAGCAGTTACAACAGAGACATAGCCCTGAAGCTTAAAATATTTACCATCTGCCCTTTAAATTCATTTACCAACTCCCTGCATTAGCTCTCTGAAGTTGTTTTTAATTGTATTTTCTAAGAACTTATTTTTCTTCAACTTATATTCATGGCCTCTAGAAGCCAATGTTGAAATTGAGGGAAACAATTTGACCAAGGTAATAGTTTCTTTTGGCCACTTTGAATCCATTTGGGAAATGAGGTGAAGTTTAAAAAACGTTTAAAGAAAAATTCTGAACCTTATGACTATACTAAAATCCAGTTAATATACCTTAAAATGGTGAATTTTATGACAGGCGAGTTATATCAAAAACCTTTTTAAACATTCTGCTGAGAGCCATTAAAATTTGTATATGCTTTTTGCAAATTAAACTCATTTCCAGTTGTTTATAACTCAAATTGCAAGCTTTCCAACACTTTTCAATTTACCATACCTACTTGACTTTTACCACCTATGGCCAGTTAATGAAAATGTTTTAAATGATATATATAGATAATCTGCTTCTAAGAAAATTAACTGCATATTTTTTTAAAAGAAACTACGTTATAAAAGCAAATCAGTATTATTTCTTCACACTCAAGGAAAGCATTACAATCTAAAAAAAAGCCAGGTGCATAACACATAATATATTAAGTTAACCAAATAATCAAATTCTGTCATCCCAATCATTTCAATAAAGCAGATTACCTAATTACTACGCAGAAACAGAATTCCCATCATAATAAAAGTAACAGCTATAATTGTTAGAGAACTTACTGTGCCATGACCATTTGCTTCGAAATAAACTCCAATATCAAACTCTTGAGCCTTGTGGTGCAAATGTTTTACACCAGTTTTAGTACAATAGACAGGTACCTATAACACATTTACGGAAACACAACAGCAGTTATTCAATTGGCAAATATTGTGTACCTACTACCCTAGGGATACAATAGTGAATAAAACCTCCTGGAGCTTAGTCTAGTGAGGAAGACAAACAGTTAAAATCCAAAGTGGAGTTACTATGGGGAAGAGAAAGCACTTAGAAGCATAAAGAAAAAGCAAGGTAAGAGTTGAGGGTACTCTTATAAAATAATGAAAGTAGGGGAGTGACATGATCTGTTTCAGAAAGCTCAGTTTAGCTATTTGTATGGAGAATGGCTTAGAGAAGGGGTCTGCAAGCCTTTACTACAAAGGGTCAGAAAAAAAAATATTTAAGGTTTGCAGGCCATTTGGTCTTTATTACGGTGGTTGTTTGTTAACCCCCAGCTTAGAAGGTTAAAAGACAGGGTCCATTAGTAGTTTTCTAGGACTAATCCCGGTAAGAAATTATGGTAGTTGGACTAGCAACACTGGATAGCCAAAATCTTGGATAGATCTGAGAAAGAAAAATGCTTAAGGAAAAACAGTACAAGACTGCAAAAAAAGATCAAGATCAAATAAGATTGATATTTGATTGGATTTAGGAGACCTAAGGAATGGTTATGGCTAAAAATATTTAATCCATAAGAGAACGGGTTAGGAAGTAAACTTCTGATGTATTTAGTTTCTTAAACAGGGTATCTGAACTATAAAATTTTTTTAAGACAGAAAATAATTAAAATACTAAAATAACAACCCAAGTACTGAAAATCCCTGTGAAAGGCAGGAAACCATATATTTAAGTCAGATCATAAACTAGCAATCTCCAGGTATGTTCTGTACCTACCTACTTACTACTACTTATAAATTCTGAATCAGCTGCCAAGACTTAAAGAGTAGGAAATTCATATGAAAAATCAGATTTTCAGCTCCTCTTGAAGAATATGACTAAAGGTGACAGCGGTTGGCCTGGGTACATTCTTCCTAGTCCTTATTTACCTACTGTACTCATTCACTTCACCTATCCAGATCCTACAGGAATCTGACTTTTCCATATGCAAAGAATAACTAGCAAAGGCAGGAAGTTGAAAAATACACAAAAACTGGAAACTACTACAGTACCTAGTGAGAAAAAGAGTGAAGGCAAACCGACCCAATTTTGGTCATGAATCCTAAGCTTAGAGTAGGTAGTGTGGTACAGAGAATATCATCTGGTGGATACTGGGGAAATAATTAGAAACAAAATCTACCAACCCAGAAAACTTCTCCACAGAAGAGCAAGAAAACAGTTTTATTACGGAATAAGCATTAAGCCAGACTTGTGATCCTGCAAAGACAAAAACCTCCCACCCTTTTATATTATAAAGATAACGAGTGACAAAGATTCTCTCCTCGACCAAATTTTTTTAGTCAGGCTCCTCTAAGCCTGAACAGGTCTCACATTGATCAGTTCTCCAAGAGTCCAATTTTAGCCAGAATTTTGCTAAATCAGTTTGGCCAAAATCCACTACCCTCAATATGTGATCAAAGTCTTCATTTGTACCATGCCCCAGGTAGTTGTACCTGATAGGCCAGACCTGCTTCGGCAAAATCCTGTTAGGGTGACTTAGCCAGAATCATGCCAGACCCCAACAGGTGATTCCCCTTAGTAACTTTCTTTCCATCTACAGAACCCCTCCACCAAACTTTGCTCCGTGGCTATGAAACACCTTTTCCATGTTATGTTAGGAGCTGAGCTCAATCTCTCTGCAAAACACCATGGCAATAGTCCCTATAACTACTGAACAGGTCTAGTTCTCAAGTATGAAGACTTCACAGCCCCATCTGTCATATACACTTACTTTGTCTTAAATTTAACTGATAATTGAGGTGGCCACAGGGGTTAGCTAATTGCCTTTATCCAAGAAAATAATAAAACTTCTCATATCTCTATAAGTAGTACTAAAACTTGGAGCCAGACACCTAAGGTAAACTCTCAGGAGACTGGAAGATATGTGTGCTATCTTCCTTGATGTTTACATTTCAAAGAGGTAAACAATCTTGAGCTGTGAAACTGGGTTATTTAGCCTTTAAAATAGTTTGTATTCATTACAAAGGAGAAGAGAAAAAATTTACAAGTTTTTTAAGAGATGCTCTAAGAAAAGGGAGGGGAGAAGTCTCTTTTTGCATCAGGGACACTTTAATTTTTAATTTTTGGTTTGTTTACCCTTATATGGACAAAAGCTCAGCTTCATGCACTACAACCTATTCACTTTTATGAGGGCATTATTTTCCTCACAGAAATACCTTACAATAGAATATAATTATTAAGAAACTACCAGAAAATGAAAATGGTTCAATACCTTCATAACTTCTTTAAGATAGCGTGTTGAACTTCCATTTGCATATGCAGTTTGTACAACACCAATATTCAAACTTTCCCCAATCTAAACAAAAACAATAATTACCTTGCGTCAAAAGTAAAGATGCTACAAAAGCAAAAAAATTCTAAAGGATGACAAAATTATTATCAGTTCAGCTGTGACTTAGGTAATGCAATAAATGACTCAATGAAAATTTACATGTAGGCCAGATAAAAAGCTAAAATACTTCTGAGCATTATTTAAAGCAATTTTACAAGGAATCCTTTAAAAAGAATCCTGTGGATTCTTGATCTTTATCTCTGCAGTTTTTTAAAGAAGTATTCAATTATTGAAGTATACCTTTTCCAGATTATAATAATTATTTCCCATTACATCCTATAAAGCTAGCCTGAGATTTCCAAAGAACAAAACAAAATCTCCAAGGATGAGATTTTCTGTTTAAACTTGAGGCTCTGGGGAGTGATGGTGGATCTCTCATTATTAAAGTGTCAGTTATTAAAAAACCAAAACCTAATAAAGTTTCAAATCATTAAACTTGGCCAGTCTAAGGAAGAAATGAGCCACTTTGGGTTCCAAAACAGTGCCCTAATGTTGAAATGACTGAAATTACCATTTCTTTTTGTATTATCTGGCCACACCTGTAAGGAACTTCCCATAAGTTGTGCCTTTGAGACATTCAACTGACCTCTATAGAACTATTTCACACGTCTCGTTTTAAAAGGTAGTCAATCTCCCACCATACCTCCAATAGGAGCTCTTTAAGGAAACTGCTAATGAGAGTTGCTATCTTGTCACCATCTATGAGATGAAAGTGGCCATCTGCATCATGATAATAATAAACAATTCTGTCTGCATCTCCATCAAAGGAACAACATCTTTCATTGGACTTCATTTCCATTCCTAGCACACAGATTAAAAATGCATTTCAGTCTAAAAAACCAGAATAAAACTCAATATAAAAAGTCCTAGGGTTTTCTCTTACACTCATTACGAGGGAAAAGTTTTTCATTAAAGTATGATCATAACTAGCCTTATGTGTTACACGTAAGCATGTAAAAATCCACTATGATTTTTCAAGAGGTATTTAAAATTATCCTTCCAAATAAAAACCAATGTCTTAATATTTAAATAGTATACAGGCTTATTGGTAGCTTTTACAGGGTAAATTATTTCACAGCTAATTGAAAAAGGAGCATTCAAAATCTATGCTGAAACGATGTAATACTAATTTTATAAAGCCAGCTGGTTTGAAAACTACGGGTATTTCTGAATGTAGTTTATCTAGTTCTATGATATCCTTTACATATAAAATAATCAGCAATAGATATGTGCTTTAATTCTGATAGTGATTTTTATTTGTTCACGCATCAATAACAAACACTGGTAAGTAGGAGCAAACAATTATAACCAATGAAAATGGTTTGTGTAATTTGCATAAAGTTATTGAAATGTCAGCAATTGTTACATCATGATTTTTAGAAAATCTGGCTGTTCCTTAGCCATGACAGGAGTCAAAAGATAAATCTCACATGAGGCAACTAATAAGTGAAGGCATTTATCTGCAATACGAGTACAAGCTTTAGGAAAGCAAGGGCCTATGGTTTTGTTCACACCATAGCCCTAGAGCAGGAGAGAGAAAGAGCTCAAGGTTTAGTGAAAGGAACACTAAACTGAACTGTCAGTAAAGTCAAAACAATTCAATGAAAAGGAGTTTAAATTGGTCGCTTATTTAACTGAACATTTAAATGCTGACTACAGTGAGGCAGAAAACATCAGTGAGAGAAGCAAATGAATGGGGTCTGGGGGTTTCTGAAGAATGCATGTCCTTCCTGTCTGAAGCGGGTAGGAGCTACTCCATTGTGGTCGATGAATGCTGTGTGAAAATGGACATTTTCTAACTTTGGTAAAGAGAAGCCAGAGATTCAAATATTTAAGTGAAATCAAAGCATTTTTAAATGGTGGCAACTAATGCAATTAGACACACATACAACAGACCGAACGACACATTTGCAAGCCAGGTTTAGCCCATAGGCTAACAATTTCAGATTTAGAATGCAGCTAAATACAGAATATCTCTTACTACAACAATCTTGAAGAACAGTCTTCTTCCTAACATGTCCACACTGTGGAAAACGCTGATTTTGCAGACAGTTATAATTAAGCAGTTGCATTCCCTTTCTATAGTCTGTCCAATTCAGATAAGATGAAAAATAATACTATTTACTATTTCTGTCCTTTAAATCAGTGCCAGACCAGCACCATTAACAAAGCCCAGGCACTTTATAGAAATGCAAATTTCTATATTGTACAAACTCTACCCCAGACCTACAGAAAGGGAAACTATGGGGAGAACCCAGGAATCTGTGTGCTAACAAGCCCTCTAGGTGATTCTGATGATGCATGCTACATTTGAGAGCTACTGCTCCAGAACACCAATTTCCAAGTCTGCTTTCCTCACCAGATTTTCCACATGCTGTGAGTCCTGTGACTTCCAGGCAGAGAAAGTAGTCCATGCTTTGAACGGCACTGATGAGTGGAAAGATGCCCAGATGCCTAAAAGTGACAGAGCCATGGCCAGCTGCATTGCTCTTCACTCACTCGGCCACCTCCGTTTGTAAATGAGACTGAGTTCAAAGCTCTAAAAACACATTTTTACATACCTTGTGGAGGTTTCTGATGACTTTTCACAAAGTCAGCCCCACATAAATGATTGAGTTTCCCTTTGGTCCCATCATTATACAGCTGAACTGACAGCTCCTGGGAGAAGTAGTATTCCATTTCTCTTAGCTTCAAGGCCCCTATGCCATTTGCACAGTCAACCTTAAGTGATCGATATTCATCTCCACTGCAGAAAGCCTTAAAAGACACAAGAAAGAAAAACTTCAAGTTCTAAAAGTTAAGCATAAAGCATGTATACATATATGTAAATATCTTCTATTATTTCAATTAGCTCAACTATTTTAAACCAAGAAACAAAAGGGTACACACATTCGGATGAAAACTGTAAAACAAAGTAAAATTTAAAATACCTTTTTTTTGTACAGACACTGGAACTGTTTCACTGATTGAATGACTTATGGAAATGGAGCTTGCTGAACAAAAAATTTAATGTTCAGGTATGAAAGTCTTTTTAAAAGAAAATGTTTACTAACAAACCCGTTTTGCCATTGCTAGCAAAAAAAAAAAAAGGCTGGTCTTGGGGCATGGAGTCTAAACCACCAGTAATGTGGCTAGGTAGAAAAGACAAACACTATCTGCCATCCCAGTTTTCCCAGCATTTTTATACATTGAGTAGCGGGGAGAAAGATGTAAGCCATTTTGAAAGAATTTACATTAGCCATAGACAAAAGGGACGGGAGAAGGTAAAGTGGGGCAGCTCTGAGATAGGCACAGCATCCAATGAAGAAGAGTTTGCTCCCCTGGATAGGTTGTGGGTAAGTCTGTAAAGCTCATGTGAAAATAAGAAAAGTGGAGGCTCCTGGAGCTCAAAAGCACCTAGTTATCTCTTCTTTAGAATAATTGCAGAAACAGCCAACTAGAAGTTAATCTGAAGTTCCAAAAGACATGTATTGAATGTGAGCAATCTTGTTAGCTGATCCACAGCTATTAGCAGGCTATTCTCTCTTTCACTCTCTTGCCACTGTAATTTAACTTAAAACATTTCAAATTTTTTTTTTTTCTTGTTAATCTTTATTAGAATTTAGCCTTAGTTAAGCAGGGTCCTTTAAAAATATTATTATAGTCTATATTACATGATAATCATTCAAATGTGGGAATGGCATATAGATGAATGAGCAGTAAAAACATGTCATTCTCCTCATAGCACAAACACCACTGAACATGTTCATTTTTTCCCTAATGTCAATCTCCTCTCCTGTATCCTCACACCAGAATATAAATTCTATGAGAGCGAGGGCTTTGTTTCGGTTAACTGTGCCTAACCAAAACATATACTATTTATTGATCAAATGAATTATATTCCTTAAATCTCATCCAGGTTTAACAAGTTAATTTCACAAGAAAATTGTTCTCAATAGTAGATGCCTCAAGTATGATGCCAACAGCACCCACATTAACTTGCTTAAGAGCAAATTACTCCAAATGAATACTCATGTTTGTTCCCCCAATGATCTCAGAAAGTACTGTGTTCCTTGCCAAGTGAGTGCCAACAGTAAGGATACAAAGCCCAGACTCTGTGGAGCCCTGGAAAGAAAAAAGACATATGCCACCATTTTTGGAAATAGGAGGAGTGAAAAACTATGTAATTTAGATAAATCGTTCAAGTGATGTTATTTTATTCATTTGCAAACTCTGATCACATTTTCACCTGTTTGGTAAGTTCCACAAAAGCCTTAGAGAGCTTCTGGTAGTAACCTTCTATGGTTGCCTTTCCATATTGCCCATTCGTATTTCGACAGTATACCATGTAGTGCAGCTGGGGTGTTGTTAACAAGCCATAATCTGTCATGGAAATACAAAAAGCAGTTTATCATATTTTTTAATAAAGGTTAAATGGATTCATACTGTAGGAATTTTATGGTAACAAAAAACACAAAACACTAACTTTCAAACTATCTAAACAGATATCCACTGAGCTCATTACAAATGCATGTCACACTGTGAATATTTTATCTATAGTAAGAAATACATATCTGGCCTTTGTCTCCTTTCCTGGCATAGCTGTTAAACTCTTAGAACTGCCTAAGCAAATAAGAACAATAAGGTGTCTTTTGTTAATGAGGTGACTTTTGGAAAGCCCCTAGGTAACCTAAGTATAGGGGCTGACTGCCAGGGGAACCAATCGTGTAATTAAAAGGTTGGAACTTTCAGCTCCCCTCTCCTCCCCCACCCAACTCCAGGGAGGAAGCTGGAGGGGCTAGAAACTGAGTTCAATCACCAGTGGGCAATGATTTAAGTAATCATGCCTATGTAATAAAGCCTCCATAAAAACTCAAAAGACCAAAAGGCCAGGTCTCCGGGTTGGTGAACATGTGGATATTTGGGGAGAGTGGCACGCCCAGAGAGCACGGACACTCTAAGTCCCTTTCCACATACTTTGCCCTATGCGTTGCTTGAGCTAGCTGTTCCTGAGTTAAATCCTTTATAATGAACTGGTAAACAAGTAAGTAAACATGCTACTTTGAGTTCTGTGAGCTGTTCAGCAAATTCATCTAACTCAAGGAGGGGGTCATGGGAACCTCCATATGGGTCAGAAGTCCATGTGATTGGGATCTGAAGTGAAGGGGGCAGTCTTATGGGATTGAACTCTTAACCTATAGGATCTGCCACTACTTCCAGGTAAATAGTGTAAGAACTGAATTAACTGTTTTGTGGTACTGAAAAAGAGACATTGAACACAAACTCAATTCTAAAAGAAATCTAAACTACTATCTGTAGCAAAAAACACTAACTTTCATTCAACATAGAGCAAGAGAAAAGTAATAATTGAGTTCTATTTTTAGTAACATTGCAAACTATGTAATTCAGATGAATCGTCCTGAAAACCAAAAATGCTAGATAAAAGAAAAAAAAAAATTCTTTTTAAAAAGAACTGTAGTGCAAACAAATTACAGAGGAATTAGACCAAAATCTATGTGGAGAAGAACTCCTAGATTGGAGCTAAAGGAAGCTAGTTTTACATTTTTCAAAACTGGAAATTGAGCCATGTTTTCAGTACAAAAAAGTCTGTTGGTTTAAGATGGGGAACCCAGTAGAAGACCAGCCCCTCATGAAGCTAAAGCTCCACAGGACTATCCTTCAGTGCAAGAGTGACTCAAAAGTGAATAAGCTCCACGCCCCTCCCAGAAAAGCTGTCTTGGCATTAAGCACAGCATAGAGAAAAACCCATCCCTGAAGAGCTGTCACAAGAAAAGCCTCCCATGGGTTTCCAGCCCAAATCACATAACCACGTGGGTCTAAAAGAACTCTGTCATCAAAGAACCATGTCATTAACCAGCCAGGTAGTTCTTCCAGCAGAAACAAACACTAAACTTGGCCAGAGAAAGTTATTTTCATCTGCATTTTTTTAATGAAACAGATGAATGCATATTGTGTAGTATGGGTAAACACTGTTTATTGAGACTTTTATTTCAGTTATATACACAAGCACACATATACACATCATGATACAAAATGGGTTTCTTACTATGAGCTGTGAATGCAGTGAAATAAGACTACAGGATGGTTGTACATAACGGGCATTCAGAAATGTCTGATGAATAAATGAATGAATAAAACACTATATGTAGCTGGAGCTATCACTGTGATGACGACCACTCAGACATCATGTAGAATGAAAAGGAAAAGTGGAGAATGCCCACACTGAGCTGGAAGAGAAGCTTACTTAGGAGATCAACAAGAATTAGTAGTGGCCAAGGATGCAGAAGCTTAAAGAAGAGGGAGGTCAGTGTTGAAAACTACCAAGACATCAACTGAAATAAAAAATTTTAAATATAAATTCTGAGAGTTATTTTTAGGTTACAGATCTCTTTGAGTATCTGACAACAGCTATGAAGCCTTTCCCTAGAAGTTAAGTGCATGTACAGGTAACACTCTGCACACTGTATCAAGAGGGCCACAGGGTCCCCACTTAACCAAACACTCGTGCGGGTCCCCAGGCCCAGGTTAAGAGTCACCACTTTATAAGAGCCATTCGATTTGGCAATTAAAATTCAGAGGAGTGTCGGGAGATATTTCACTGGATGGGCAAGGATGGAGACTGCCCTGCAGTAGGCATAGTAATGCCTAGAAGACAAAGAATCAAGCCAGGCATGCTCTTGGAAGAGGCCAGATTAACTGTGAAGGGAAGACACAAGAGTTGGAAAGGAAGTAGAAAAGGTTAAGAAATTTTTAAGTGAGAAAAACCTGACACTAGTAAAATTCACCTTCAAGCAACATGGAGTCATTGGATTAAAAAGGGGCACAACCGATGTGAGAAGAGAATTCTAGCCTCTATTTTGTTGCATTTAACACTTCCTCACTTAATAGGAAAAAACCATCTGTAAAACCTTAAACTGATTACAAGTAGGCCAAAGATATTTTCCATCACTATTTGGCAGGTAACAGCTGATTCCACACATGATCATCTATGAAGGAAAACCTGATATTGACAAAAGCTCCCCAGAATGAACATCGTCAGGTAACCTCAAGGGTTTTTTATATCAATAAATTCAGCCTTATTAAAGAAAGTTGTTTAAAATCAACATTTCCTACATATAATCTCCTATAGGTAAAACAAATTATACATGCCCCCCAATTTTTTTTTTAATATTAAAAGCTAGTATTTTACATCTAGGAATTCATTTTTTAAAAACTTTTTGTTTATCTGCATTTTCAAACTTTTCTAAAATAAATATGTATTACTTTTATAATTTTTTAAAAAGTTTAAAGATTAATTTAATTTATAGCTCAGTACATACCATGGAACTGACCTCCCAAAACAGTGACACCATCTATTACAGACTGTGAAAGTTTCTGACTGCTGGGCCTAGGAGAGAAAAGAAAATTATACATCCCATCCTGAAACCAACGGGGTTGCTAATTCTGAAAGTGAACACTGAAATGATGTGCTACAAATTTCAGAATAAGTTCACTGTATATTAACTGAAACCTGTCAAGTCTGAAAACTGAAAAAACAATTCAGGTAAAGTATAAAGATTTTCCAGTAGTCTTTCACAATGTATTTCTTGAAAAAAATTTTAGCTTTTAAATGAATTTAGAAAATCGATATAAAGGATACAGTAATTACACCATACCCAAACTTTTCAAGTTTGACAACTACACATACATCGCCTCAGAACAGTAACAAATACTGAAAGCACAGTGTGCATAATGCAGTCCCGGGCATTAAACCACTAAGGATACAGAACTTATTTTTCATTTTAAAAAGTCAGGACAAATTACTGGAAAATAAAGCAGATCATTATATAACTGCCTTGTAGAAAAAGATGTTCTATAGCACTTAAACTAGTTAAGGTAAGAGGTAACAGGTAAGAAAGAGATAAATACATGTGAGATGGCTTTACTGAGAGATGCTTTGCTTCAGAATATAAGCCACTTGGCTCTTTCTGCTACCTATAATAGTGGTGATTATGGAATCAATAGTATTTGGAAGTCCTTCTGAGAACACATTTAAAGGTAAAACACCAGTCCAAGGCATTAAGAGATTGACTAGAAATTTCCTTTAGAAAGAATCTCTGGCTAAAATCAAATCTGTTCTTGCAAAAGTGAATGCTTCTGTTTCAAAGTACACTTTTAACCTGACATTTTTCAAAAATACTTGTTTGTAAAAGGAGGCAAAACCTGACAAATATGTAGAAATAGTTTTACAGTGAACTCCAGCATGGGGAAAATGATATAAATATATGAACCGACAATAACAGATTATGAGTCTCTAAAAACAATGAGTTAAAATCATGTGTTCTTACTCTATGGTGGAAAACAGTAAACCTTCAGAAGGGAGTGGGAGACATTTATTAAGTGCTTCTCTCATGCCAGAAAATACATATTCTGCATACATTATTTCATGTAATCCTCACAAAAACTTTATCACCAATATTTATAGAGTTAAATCTTATAGTGTTAGAGTTGGGGTTCAGACTCCCAAATCCAAGTTGCAGTGGTGACTTAGTTCCCACATCCTATTACGAAGGCAATGTAGGGGAGAAGCCTCTACTTCATTCTTTCCATCTGTCGTGGGTACTAAAACTGACAGAATCATTTATACTGAGTTCCCAAAGTGGCTTTCAGCAGTAACTCGAATGGTCACCTGGTATCTCTACCAATCACTACGAAGGCATCTTGTTGCAGATCTACCGCTGCTTTCTCGCTGATGTCCATCAACACACTCTGCATATCTTCTTCCTCAGCATTTGCCAAACAGGTAGCATGTTCCTCCCAGGAAGGTGCCAACATTTCACCCAAAGGATCAACCAATTTGACACCATTGTCTTCCTAAAAAAAAAAAACCCATATGCCATCTGTGCATATTCATGAGGGTGAGTTGAAGTAAACTCAAACTGTTCTTCCTCCTGCGAAAGACCGTGATAGCTGAGCAGCTTCACCTGTGACCTCTACCTCATGCCAGGAACTGGAGTAGGTGTTTTATATACATCAGCTCAGTAAATCCTCATGAACCCGTGTCAATCTAATAATGCTATTATATTCCTGAGAAAACAAAGATTCAGAATGAGTAACCTGCTTATGTTCATACAACTAAGTGTCAGTGCTGATATTAAAACATCAAGTCTATATGACTCTTAAACTCAACAGCCACTATGCTAAACTAGTTTTGTTAAAAGGCCATCATCTGTGCATTAGCCGTCAATTAACTGGCTAGGGCACAGCTAGAGCAGAATGAGTGCACATAGAGATCTTTCTCACTATGACTCTGAACTCTATGCACATCCTGCTCGGTGTATCAACCAATGGGTGGCACAGAAGCTGAAAACTGACTTCTAATTCTGTTCTGCTCAAATTTCTGGGGGGAAAAAATGTGTAGTTCTGAGAGTGAATGTCACCTGAAAGAAAGAGCTTAGAATTGTTTTTAAGAAGTGCTTTTAGAACTAGCAATAAATGTGGGGATCTGCCTACAAGTCAATCAATTACGGCAATTTAGACATTTATGGATTTACAGCGATGCACATTTAGAAGTTGGACAAGCAATGTCCTCTTGTTTGGGAGAAGAGGAGGTTACAATCCTTCACTGACCTACATAGCTTTAAATTGCTGCTGATTTAGGTACAAAGGCAAAAATCTAACGCCCTAGCAATAAGAAGCATATTATTCAAACCATGTATTAGTGAGCTATAGGCAATACAGAATAAAATAGTTTGTGTCGAAAGGAATACTTTGATAAAAACGTAATTGTCATAGACACTAGAACCATCGACCTCATCAATACTCCACCCAAAGCTCACTTTTGGATTCTGGGAGCCATCTGTGTGGCTGTTTATTCAGAACAGGAAACTATTCCTTAGCTACAGAAAACTTGTCTGAAAATTTTCAGAATGTTCTAAGTCTTTGCAAATGTTTGCCCTTCCCCCCACCTTGCCTCCAATCTCTTTATTCTCTGCCAAATCAACAGGGGTGACTTTTTGTTACTGATACTGTGACAATATAACTAACTGGGAAGGATATTCTGTTATTTCTCTAATATGCACAGTCTCCAAAAAATTAGTCTCATTTCACTCTCTCCACACCCTCTAAAGAGTCATAAGTTAAATGACTGCTCATTAAGAAAAAGCTGTTTCGAATCCAAAGGCACATAACAAAAAGACACACTCTTAGAATTAGAAATTGTTCTTTTGGTCAAACTGCTCAGACACTAAGGTTTTGCAAATAAAAGTTTGCTTTATCAGAGCAAGAAATGCATTACCTCAGGATTGTGTGATGCTGTTACCATGACTCCTATTGTAGATTTTGTATATTTTGACCTCAGGACAGCTAACAATCCCATGCGAAACATGACATGATCAAGATGTTCTGCTTTCATTCGAAATCCAGCAGTCCCATATTGAAGAATGAGTCCATTGGGCTTTGCATGTAATGCTGAGTGTTTTGTAACAGCATCTAAATCCATGTCTACAAAATTAAGAAATATTTTTCAGGGATGTTAAGATATCTTTCAAGAACCATTAGCTTCAAAAGCTGCCACCCCAAACTAATAGGCATGCCTCATTCTGAACCTCCCCAAAGAACCATGTGTGGTAGAAAAGAATGGGAGAATAAATCCTGGGAGTCAGTATTACCTAGAAGATCTTGTTCAACTTACATTGTCCACTCTAGAACAGATTCAGGGCAGAGATTAGATTGTCTTCAACTCATGTCCCATTTTGGTTCCAAGGCTATTCCTGGACCCACAGCCAACTTAAAACGGTCCACTCTCAACTGGAATGAAGATTCCACACCTACATTCAGAGACTTCTACAAGATCAAATATCACCTCATTTAACAAATAGGACAACCTAAGCCTGGGCCTCATTTAAATAACCTAAGTTTACATGGATAGCTGGTGACAAACTGAGGTCTATAGTCATATTCTTAAATGAATTGGCCTACATATCCAAAATCTCTAGGAAATCTGTGTAATTCTTTTGCAATTCTTCCCGGGCTACAGAAACATATTCCCAGGGGAAAAGCAATGGGCAACAGCCTCTTCTCCAAGACTGCCCAGACCTCCTAATACACCTCGTAGTGGATTTTTTTTACTTTCATAAAGATCAGGACACCTTTCTAAGTTAAGTTCTGAAACTAGCAATATCTTCCTTTCACCTTTAATTTAAAAAAAATATATTAAACATCAGCCCTTAGGCCACTAGCCCTAGTCCAATCAGCCACTTCCTCTTCTGGGATACTCCAATTTTAAGTGGATTTTGGGGTTTCCAACCTCAGTTGTATGTACTATATTCACTTCCTGATCAGTCAATCCCATTTCCAATCAGCTCAGAAATGAGCAGCAGTCTCACGAATACCAGCCTGGCTACAAGGCATATCTAGTAGATATTGCGAGTTTGGTTCCAAACTATCGCAATAAGACAACTATGGCAATAATGCCAGTCAATCTTTTTGCTGGTGGAGGGTCTTGCCTTTAATTTGTAAAATATGCGACCGCTGTGAAGCGCAATATAAAGTTAAGCGCTACAAAATAAGGTACGCCTGCATCTTGTTTTCTTTATTGTCCTTTATTGTTTCAACGAACAAAAGTTAAAGGAAATGGTGAAACATGTTTGCTTTTGTCCGGCTGGAAAAAGCTAGCAAGCATTCAACAAACTCAATTAGTTTGGTCCAAAGTGATTAAATCTTTTTCACAAGCAGGAATACATTTTGTTAAAAAATGACCAGTCGGTAATGTGTCAGGATTATTCAAAGGGCGTAAACCAGCCATGTTAAATCCAGAACTTCTTTTAAAAAATGTTAAAATAAAATGCGTCCGCCCTTTAATGCGTTTTAGGTCCTAATACTTTCAGTGGGTATGTGAACGCTTTTATTAAAAGTACTTTCAAGTCCATACGGTGTCTACACTGAAAAACTTAGGTGTCCTCCTCTCCTCCATTCCATCTTCAACACCTCGTCCGTTCCTCGCCCCCTCCCCCCCCACCACGCCTCCGCCCCCGGAATCACCGCACATTTCCCGGACCGAAGCCCCGAGGTCCCCGTCCAGGCCGGTGGACGAGACCCGCTACCCCTTCCCCCAAACAACAGACCCTCGAGCCGGCCCACCAGCCCGCTCCGGAGGCGCAGTGGCGGGTGGGTGTGTCCCGCGCTCGGTTCTCCGGTCAGTCCGCTAGCCAGCCCACTAGATCATGGGTCGGCCGAAACCCTGTGGACCGGAATGTCTCCTTTCGCCGCCAAGCCCCGGGGCCCCGCTCACTTCTGCCAGAAGACTCCCCGTCACTCCCACGGCACGGAACAACAAGCTCAAGACGACGCCTGAAACCAGAGTGGAGCTCTCGGAACCCGCAGACGTGGCCCTGCGTGGCTTCCGGCAGGCCGCCACGCCCCTCAGCCAATCACGGCGGGGGAGGGTCCGCTGGTTCCGCCCCACCCCACCCTCTGCGGGTCGCGCGCAGCTCGCGCCTGCGGAACTGCGGATCCGCGCGGTGAGCGGGCTTGGGGCTGTTTCCTTTGAATGACCTGGAAGGGTGAGGCAGGCGGACGGTCGCGGGCCTTCCGAACACAGCGACCGGCAGATACGGAGCCCCACCTCCAATGTGGGTCTCGGGGTGGCAGATCTCGCGCTCCAGGGAAGCCGCCGATCCTAGTGGTCCTGGATGGGGGGTACCAACTCCGATTTGAGGCCTCTGATAAGGTGGCCTCGGCCACAGTAAGCGCCATCCAGCCTCCCGCATCCCCTTCTCGGTTCTCGAGGTTCATCTCCCAAACCTTTGACGCCGAGAAGCCTTCTCAGGCCGCCACCCCCTCCCCATCTCCCCGCCTCAGCTCACACTAAACGTCATTTTATTTATGGACCTGTAAGACCTCCCCAAACCTGGGCCCCTCGGGGCAGAGGCAGATGGAGCCAAGTCGTCCGGACCGCCCATGATGCCGCCCCCGGCCGGTGTGGCTCTAGGGAGAGGCGGAAAGGCCCACCCAGGGTGGGTCCGTGGCGCTAGGGCCGAGGGGCGACAACTGGCAATGGTGTCGGAGGGGCCCTAGAGACCTCAGAGCCGGGGAACCCAGAGCTCAGCCCCATCGGCACTGCAGACCCCTCGCCGCAGAGTCAGGCTCCGCCAAGCGTAGGACCCGGGGGGATTCGAAAGCTGGGACCCTTGCCTTTCCCAGAATTCAGGCTTGCAGAGTGTCTGCAGGTGTTTGCCAACCACCTGCAACCGAATAATTCAGAACACTTGTTGAAAGTCTAAATTCCCGGATCTAGATCGGAAGCGAGAATGGAGGGAGAGAGACTGGAACGCTGCACTTTAACAAGGTGTCTTGGGGAATGTTGTGCATACTAGATTTGGGGGTCAGGAGATAAAGCA